ACTGGGCCCAAGGCTACTCCTTTCTGAGGCAGAATCAGAGTGCTCCTTCTGCTCTGGCCAGAAGTTAAGGCAGGTTTGGGTGATCTTGATATGGTGTCATGAAATTTCTGCTGTTCAATCTTGAATCTTTTGCCTCCCAATTCAGCAGTCTTATCTACCTTGAAGAGGGCAAACTTTTTTGAGATCAGCCTCGCTCTTTGGTGAATGAAGTTGAAGGTGTGAGCCCTTCTGTGAGGAGGTTCCGTCATGCTTCTTGTTTCCAGAGATGCCTCACTCCTTGCCATTATAGGGTTTCCCACATTGGGCCCTTCCGCCATTCAGTCCCATCTTCCCCTCTTCTCTGATATCCCTGTATGTAGATTGGGTGCTGCGTATCTTGCTGACCCAAGATCTAACCAGAGCCCGACTTACATGCGAGCAGTTGTAGACATCATGAGGCCTCTGTGTAGCTGACTTTTCCACATTGTAAAAAGGAGAATGGAGATTGCATGATTTAAAATTGAATCCCAGTGGTAATAAATGACCAGCAGGTACCTATGGAACATGCAAAAATGAGTGTGGTGTCATTATTAACCATGGCTGTGAGAAGATAAACCAATGTGGTCTATAGCAACATCTAAAGAAGCTTCATGAAGGATGAAGACTGGGGCCTGAGGGCCCACCGTCCTGCATGTGGTTGGTGCTGGTTTATTGTGGGACCTTCCTATCAGCTTTTCCTTCGTATACCTTCCCACAGAAGCCTGCTGCTTCCAGGGCTAACCTGGTGGCTCACTTATCTTGACTCCATGTGCTTTGCCTGAGTGATCACCCCCCACTTCTATGGCCAAAATCATCACCAAGCCCTACTGAAGTTTCAGCTTAGGTCTCCCAAATTGTGGTTGCTGACTTCTCCCCCTGGGTGACCCGAAGGCAGTGACATGCAGGTTATGACATTGAATTTTAGCAATTCTGTCCCTTTTCACCCAGAACGTGTGCTTTCTGTCTCACCAAACCCTCACAGATGGTCTCTCTCTCTCTCTCTCTCACTGCTCTTTGCTGATCTGCAAATACCATCGGGTTATAGCCTTTCTTTTTACAACACCACCGTACCCAAGCCATTCTTGTTCTGGCCTCCATACATGCCATCCATCAGCCCAGACGTGACATTGAAAGGTGCCATCTTTTTAACAAACCGTTCTAATGGAACCTCAACTGAGCAGATTTCAGCAGCCTCCCCCATTAGCCGCGTGATGAGAGACCCTGTGCTTGTTCCACATTTCCCATCTCATCTGACCCTGCTGGTTTGCCCAGTGTGTGTGGTGGTGGTGGTGGGGCATTCTCCACCACTCTACCATTCTTTGCTCTGCCAAGAATGCTCTCTTGACTCTGCTTTAATTCCATACCATTCTTGTTTTTAGAAATACCTCTTCAGTATGGTCTGCCCTATACACTCTGAGTTGCTTCTACTTTGAAGCAATCCCTTACTGCCAAAGGAAACCCAGTGCCAGTTGTTCCAAGCTCTCTAGAACTTGGCATATTCTCAGCATTTATGATGTGGTTATTATAATTATGTGTGTGCATGTGTATTAGTCACTGTGGATTGAAAGTTCCTTGACAGCCAGGGTGTGTCTTCACAAGGCCTGTCCCCCATAGTAGGTGTTTAGCAAATGCTGAATGACCAAATCATGATTTCTACACTTAAGGAATTCAGCCTAGCATATACAAAAGTGTTTCCAAATGTTTATGGGAAAAAAAATGAACTTAAAGAGGAGTTTTTTAGGTGTAAAATATTTTGAATTCCATGCATTTTCCTCCTGCGATGCAATTCTCATTTGAAGATCCTTATAGCAAGAGCATCTTGGTCTTTTTCATCCTTTGTAAGAAAAATTACTTTCTAGCTTGGAACTTCCATTGATATGTCTGTCAAGAGCAGCCTAGAGGAAGCTGAACAGCTGTGCGCTGACCAGAGCTTGGAGTCCAGGAAGCCTGCAGGCTCTCAATCATTTGTCAGTTCCTCCAAGAAGCACCTCTGTTTCCCCCACTCACCTATGTCTTCCAGCCATAGCCACAGCTTCCCAAAATGAGAGAGGGAGGCCTGAGTTTACATTAGAAGATCTTGGCTTTGTATCCAACAATGGGGCATCTGGACCAACGTGAAAGATTTGACTTTGTAGGAAGTGTTTATCCCTGGTCAGCATCTTACAGAGGCTAGCATCCAAGACATTGGAATTCCTGACTTGGGACAATGAAATGATCAAAGCTCCCAATTCTTGGGTTTCCTGGCCTTGTAACAGAGTTTTGTTTTCATCCCTGACCAGGCAAAAATGCCTTGCTGCCACCAGAGAAGTGAAAGTTTAGGAGGCTGTGCTCGGAAGAACTGGGGTTTCTTCTTTGTTCATCAGTTCACAGTGTGGGGAAGGGGATGCAGGGGAGGAATCTCTATAGGTATATGACATTTAGCTAGGCACCAGGATGCATGCTCTCAAAGCAGAGTTAATGTGCACCTGCCTCAAAGGATGTATGGCCAAGAGGAGCTTACAGTTCCTAGGAATGCATCCAGAAATAACTTGAGAAAGGCTTAGCTCATCGAGTTCTCGAGTTGCATGGGAACCTTCTCTAGGAAAACTACTCCCAAGACCCTCATTTGGACTAAATGGTTAAGGCAGGCTGTCCCATGCTTCCCACCAGGAAAATTCCCCCTGTCACAATAGCTTTATAAAGAAAGGGCTGAACACTAATTGAACTGAGACTCTCTCATCTGAGACTTGCACCCTGTTCTTCCTCTTAGTTTGTGAAATACCAACTTGTACCATGATTCAGTGGCTCAGGATTCTGTTTTAGCACTTGGTGTGCTTGGCAATCCAGCTGTGGAGCCACCTAGCGGATGTCTGGTCCAAGAGGTCATTCCACATTCTTACAATGAGTTGTGCCCCAAATGTGGTATTGACCTACTAAGACTTCTCTAAATCATGACCATTGAGATTTCCATGTAACAACTCGGAATTTTACAAATAGAAAACACAAAACTGGTGACAAAGTGGAAACATGGAGTGGGTCTGAAAGCCAGGGCTGCTGTTAGGGTCACTGGCGCTCACTCCATAGAAGCCTTATAGCATTGTCCCAACAGAGATGGAAACATAGTAGAGGCTAAACTCTGGTAAAATAGCCCCAGCATGCCCCACAAGAGAGTGTGTCAGGCTTCTGAGGTGGCCCACCTTACATTCCTGGTCTGGTGATGGTTGTAGCTAAGGACTTAATGCCATGTGCCTGGGGAAGCCTTGTCTGTCTGTGGTTCGTGGTAGTCCTATGTTGTTCTCAGAGATGCTGTGCACCTGCCAGCGTAACATGAAAGATTTCTAAGCACAGGATGAAGTGGTTTCTAACCTGAGATGTCTGAACATATTCTTAAAATGCCCTTGAATGTACAAGTCTCCATCACTCAAGAAGTAACCTCAGGAGGCCTCCCACCCCTTCTTCTCCCTCTGAGTTTCAGGACTCTCACCCTCTACTGGCAATCCCCAAATCCAAGTTTGACCCAGGGGGCAGGACCTGATTTCAGAATATCTTGGTAACAGATTCATTCTCCATAGAAAATGTGAACATCTTGTCCTTGATGCCTTAGCGTTTCCAAACCCTTTGCTGGCACTGTTGATTCAGCCCTACCCAGGATGGGCTATTTGGTCTTTATTTTATTATGGAAGGTAAGACAAAGTAGGAAAGAGCTAGGAATTACAGGGCTTGGGCTCTACTTCCCACTTCACTCTGTACTGGCTCTGTGGTCCCAGATTTAATGCCTTAGTTTTGCCCTCTGTAAAAACAGCTGGAGATATTGCTAAAAGATGCTTTCAAGATTCTTGGTCAAAAAACTGGCCTAAAGGAAGATAGGCAGGTACTGTATTTTGGATGCACTTTGCAAGATAATCATTCTTCTGTGGATTTTTAATATGGTTACTATTTAATTTTCTTCACCATACCATCCCCCAACTTGGGGCTGATCTCAGATGTGTTTAGAATTTCCGTCGTCCTGAGGTCCAACCAAACCTTTGACCTTTCATGTTGTGGTATATGTTTGGTTGACTATGGTTGACTATGACTAAAGAAATATCCAGATGTATTCCATAGCTTGGAGAAATGATTGACAGATGTTGTCTCAAAAATGTGATGGTTCTGGGGCTCAGGCTGCCTTTTTCCTACTGGAACACAGAGAAGCAGAAAAAAAGTTTGTTAGAAAGTGATGTAACTCCTGAGGTACAGCACTTGCCTGCTTGCCCTGTCACCATGGAAGTGGCCTGTACAGATCTGCCTTGGTCTAACAAATCATCTGGAGGCTTGAGAGGGCATCCTAATTGTTGATTTCATTCTCAGTCATCAGGTCAGTGGTCTCAGACAGTGATCCTTGCTGTTTTGTTGGGTTTTGGTCCGGAAGGCCCTTTGAGATTCTTTTTAAAATGTACTATGAGAGCTCATGTGTTCCAATCCACTGGTTTGCTTCCTCAAATGCCTTCAACGGCTGCTGGAACTCATTCCACCCCTCACCCATCACCTGCTACCTCCCAGGATGCACGGTAGCAGAAAGCTGGGTCCAAGAACGGAGCTGGGCATTTGAGTCCAGTATCCACTGAGATGCAAATATCTTAACCACAGGGCTAAATGCCTCCCACCCTACCAATCCCTGCTATTCTTGGGATTCTCAGAGAAGCTGTGGGCAAGTCTCCTTCCAAACCGGGATATAATTGTGGAGACTGCTTATATGTGTTGAAGCCCATGGACTCCAAGTTAGCAATCCCCAGTGGAAGTGGTTAAGAAGCCCTCCAGCAGGAATGCCAGGGCTAGCTTGAGACAGCCAAAGTCCTGTATTTGCTGCCAAAATTGAATAAGTAGTAATATCAATGGTTTTCCTTTTTTTTTTTTTTTTTTTCCTCTCTGACCATCACCTTCTTTCCTGCTGACTCTCCCCACATCTCTTGTCATCTTGTTCCTGGTCACTTCTGTCTCCATCTCTTGCACATCTTGCACCGCAGATGTTCCAGCCTGGCTCAAGAGCCTCCGCCTGCACAAGTACGCCGCGCTTTTCTCCCAGATGACCTACGAGGAAATGATGGCCCTCACCGAGTGCCAGCTGGAGGCTCAGGTATGTGCCCGAGCAATCTATGTTGGAGCCCAAGGCTAGCTTCACCCAGTAGCCCACCTTGTCCTGGGAACTGCCAGGTGAGTACTGGCTCTTACCTTTGAGATGGGAGAGCAGCAGAGGAGCAAGAGGGAGCTTGGCATGCTACAGACAGGTATGACCAAGGGGCACCCAGATATTCCAGGACACCTGAGAGGGAAGGGTCAGTGCTGAAAAGAACAGCAGCCCAAGACCTCAGAGGGAGCACCTCTGTTTGGCGCTTCCTCGCTCTCCCTGTTCCCTCTCTACTCCGTGCTATGTCAGGAGGGACAGATCTGTAGTCCGCTGTCCAGGTTGGTTACAAATCCACTGACCTCTAACAGGACCAGTAAGCAGAAAGCCCCAGGTGGTGCTTCAGACAGCCCCAATGTTTTTCCAAAAACACATTCAGGCTGGTCTTTGTTGAGATGGCAGTAAAATGCACAGGAGGTTTGGTTTCTTCTAACCGCCTCAAGCAGCATGCAGCCATGGCAAAGCACATGAGCTCCCCACGTCTCCGTTCTCCCTTGCGTCTGCACACCATGACTGCACGGGGTCCCGCCTCCGTCTGCGGCTCCCTCCCCTAAGTGTGGCTGCCAAAGAGTGCTCAGTGGGACCCCTGGAACAAACCAAGCTGCCTATTGCGCTGTGCCCAAGGAAACAGACCCTGGCAGGGTCTTTGTTTCCCTCGGTTAAGATGCTATTTGCATGTTTCACACTGGCCTTGGCTTCTGTGGAGCCACAGTGGCAAAGAATTGATGGTCTGGCCTGGCTAATAATATTCCGCCCCACCCACCCACCCCGTGGCAGGAAGAGGCGGCTGTAGCATTCAGGGCGTGGCTGGCATGTTTGCATAGCTCCGCAGATCCCTGGCTTCTCTTGGCTCCTTCAGTACCCTCACTTAACCTCTGCAGGCCAGCCTGAATACCAGTATTGAGAGACAAGACAAAGCCCAGAGTCACTGCGGTTGGGCAGAGAATGAAAGGCACCGACTTCAACTTCCTAACATTCTCCCACTGCTCTTTGGATCTCTGGAGCTGCTTAAAATCCCAGGAATTGATGAGGACTGTTTCTAAGAGCATTTTTGTGTTTTTGGGTCAGAGTTGGAGGAGGAAGAAAATCAGTATCACCACAAGAAATAATTAACCCCAAGGCCAAAATCAGAGTCCAGCACCGACTTCTCAGAGGGATTGAATTCCCTGGGACTCAAAGCTAAGGTTTAACAGAAATGTAAGCCCAGACTTCCATCTTGGGTTCAATGGCCACTATAGTCTTAATTATTATTTTTTAAGATGTTTGTTTATTTGAAAGCCAGAGAGGGAAGGAGGAGAGATCTTCCATCTGCTGTTTTACATCCCAGATGGTTGCATGGCCAGGGCTGGGCCCAGCCAAAGCCAGAAGCCCCGAACTCCATCCTGGTCTCCCACGTGGGTGACAGAGATCCAAGGACTTGGAGGACCATCCTCTGCTGCTTTCCCAGGTGCATTAGCAGGGAGCTGCATTGGAAGTGGCACAGCTGAGATGTGGCATCCATAGGAGATGCCAGTGTCATAGGCAGGAGGCCTAACTCCTGATACAATCCAATACTGGCCCCATGATTCCTAATTTTTCCAAGTAAAGGAAATGTCGCTGGTGGACCATTGAATTCTATGCAATAGTTGCAAGTAAGCAGTCACTGGAATTGGCATTAGAATTTGATTTTTAAATCTGGGATTTTTAAGTCTGGGAAGTTTGGTTTCTGTCTCATCAAGTGTGGAACTCAAATCCTTTTTTGGGACTCCACTAGAGACCCATTAACGTTTGCCTGCAGTGATGACTGGATTGTGGGCACAGCTTAGCTTCTCTTCTCATTTTCCTTTGGGGAGTGAAAAAGGAACCACTGCCTAGCATCCATCCCACATTCTAGGATGTCACATGTAGAAAACACTGGGCTTCACATCACCCTATGAGGGTTAAACATGGTGACGCTCTGGGGAAGCGGCTGATGGCCATGGGGGATTAAGCCTCCAAGTTTGGTGAGAAAGAAGAGTGTGTGACCTAAAAATGATCTGTTAAAGGACATATCTGGCTGTGATTGCTCATGTGCTTGGTGGCTGCTATTGGTCAGAACCAAAAGGTGGCCTTGAACGTGTAGCCCCCTGGAGGTAGCACTCTTGGTGAGAAGGGGTTTAGGGGAATTGAAGGAAAAACCTAAGTAGATGTGCAGCAGCTGTTTAGGAACAGGGAGGCGAGTATGGCTCTGAGTAGTCTCTTAGGGTCTCCAGCTGCTGTGGAGAGTTGGGCTTCAGGACTGTCACTTGTGTTTCATTGTAGAATGTAACCAAAGGCGCGAGACACAAAATCGTCATCAGTATCCAAAAGCTCAAAGAGAGACAGAACCTCCTCAAGTCATTGGAAAGGGTAAGTGCCCACCGGGCAAGGAATGTTCCTCCAGCAGGTGCCAGCAGACTCAAGAAGCGTTCTCCATGAAATGTCAGGGGCAGACTTCACTGGGAGTGTTTCTCCTCTTTCTTACCAAAGTTAGAAAAAAAAAGATTTGGAAGCAAAAGTTCCCATCCATGCTCGATGGTCCCAGGCTGCCTGTGATGAATGGACCCTCCAGTGCTGGGATGTGTTGCCATCCATGATACCCTTTCCCTATCCATTAGCTTCTCCCTTGGCTATCTCTGTGGAAATAGAGAGGTGTTCACCCGAGAGTCAGGCAGGAATCCTGACCCAGCAGCTGAGGGATTATCTGGTGTGCTTCCTTGCAGGCATTTCCACAGTGAGTGTCTATAACCCTAGCTCTGACAGGTGCACATCAGGGTCCACCCCCGAGGTGCACAAAAGCAGACACGATAGTGCACTCTGGGGAGAACAGTCTCCAGGTGTACCTGAACAGAATGGGTACCTGGAATGGTCAGGAGCTGTCACAAAAGTGCTGAGTTTCTTCAGAAGCATTCAGTCCACTTGCTAACCCATATTGCCTGCACGGAGTTTGTGTCATCTTGGTGACTGCCATTTTTAGCATTTGATAATGGTATGACTTCCCCTAGGGTGCAAAGGGGACTGTGCACAGGGGCCCCAGGGTTGTATCCACTCTGAAATTGGACCTCCCAGGCAGTGAGTGCAATGGGCCATGGGTATTTGTAGCCTGCAGAGCACAATGGTTGTCTCTTCAAGAAATTTGGGGAGTCTTTGGAAGGTGATAGGGTATGGCAGGAAGGAGGCCCACAGTAGGTTTTATAGCACAGACTTTTTTTTTTTACAGATTTATTTTTATTTGAAAGGTAGAGTTAGAGGGGAGAGAAGAGAGGTCTTATAATCATTGGTTCACTTCCCAAATGACCACACTGGCCAGAGCTAAGCTGATCCAAAGCCAAGAGCCAGGAGTTTCCTCAGGGTCTCCCATGTGAGTGCAAGAGTCTATAGTCTTGGGCCGTTCTCCACTACTTCTGCAGGCCACAGCAGGGAGCTGGATAGGGAGTAGAACAGCAGGGACACGAATTGGCACCCTAAGGGATGCTGGTGCTTCAGGCAGATGATTACCCTAATAGGCCATCGCACTGGTCCAACACATACACTTTTTCAATGGAGTGGAAATATTTTTAACTTACAGAGGTGTGTGTATATAGATTGAAACACACTATATAAAGTTGTAAGTATATACAAGGGTGCTTCGAAACACTTGTGGGAAAGCAAAATGTAAAGATACTTATTTTCGTGCAAATATCCATGCCTCCTTTTTTCTTAAAATGTACATTTTCCATTAACTACTTGAAGATCTCTCATGAACATGTATTTCAAAATTTTTCACCAAAAAAAAATTTTTTTTAAGATTTTTTTACTGGAAAGGCAGATCAGATTTACAGAGAGAAAGTGAGACAGACAGATCTTCCATTCACTCATTCACTCCCCAAAGATGGCCGCAATAGCCAAAATTGAGTCTATCTGGAGCCAGGAGCCAGGAGTCTCTTCTGGGTCTCCCACACAGGTGCAAGGTCCCAAGGCTTTGGGCCATCTTTGCTTCTCATGTCACAGGCATGGAGCTGGGACATGAAATAGCATCCATATGGACCAATGTGCCAGCCTTAGAAAATTCTTTTCATCCCATTTTTGGGCCAACATTTTGAAGTACCCTTATATGTATTTAAATTTATAAGGACAGTTTAAAAAGAAAACATATTTATGAGATTGAGCAGAGAACTCCCCCACTCCACTGATTCGTTCACAAACACCAATAGCAGCCAGGAGCTAGGAATTCAATCCAGGTCTCCAGCATGGGTGGCAGGGTCCCAGTACTTGAGCTATCACCACTGCCTTCCAGGGTCTGCATTAGCAGGAAGGTGGAGCCAGAGCCAGGGATTGGCCGCAGTCTCTCCAGTGTGTGAAACACAGGCATTTCAGCTGCTAGGTCAGAGGCCCACCCGAGGTGGCTAGACAGGGCAGAGGCTTACACCCCTGCCCCTCTATTGTTCCTAACTAAGTGGAGTTACAAATTGCAACCGAGAGGTCTAATCTGAGCTTAAGGCTGAGGTTCTAAGCTTTATGCCAACTCTTTTACAAAAAAGCTTGTGTAGCAGAGTGATTATGGCTGTCTGGAACACGAGAAACCATTCTCTGAAGGAGAGAAAGCCACTGGCTCCTTGTCTATTCATGTTTCTGTTCCCCTGTGTGCCTAAGGGATTTCCTTGCTAAGCCTTGTGGTGAAAGAGCATCTCCCTTGCCCCTGGTTCTCAGAGCATCCTTCACAGCCTCTGTGGCTGCGCGGGAGCACACCCCCAGGAGAGCAGGTGGAGCTGTTGTGCGTTCTCCCTGGAGCCCTGAGCTGAAATCTCTGCCCGCAGTGGTCCTGCTGTGCCTGACTTCCAGATCCTCTGTGTCTGGTTTCACCCCAAGAATACTGTAGACTCTACCCAAAACTGGTTTCTCCTGGGCTCACAGAGTGCAAAGGTTTAGATGCCAGACATTACACGTGGTATGATGGTAGCTGGTGGCCAAGAGAAAAACTGTGCTGCATTTTCCCAGCTGCGTCACAGTCTCTGTGGACTAGCCCTATAGGAGATCGATGGGGCAGGTTTGTGAGGTGCTCAGCCTCTGGGAGTTATGCTCATCAGTAACCTGCAATTCCCGGAGGCAGACCTAGAGCAGTCACATGCCAAGCACCTCAGTCGACCCTCGGCCCGTGACGGGGGTGCCATCGCCATGCCCTTGTAGGCCGGCAGCATTCTTACATCACACAGAACCCGGAGATCACTAGGACCCCACCCGAGCTAGTTCATAATCAGGTGTAGGTGCAGGAGAGCCATGTCCCGGCCCCTCCATTCAGTTACTGGACACTGACTGAGCAGCCAGCTTGGCCTCAATTTTGCCCTTGTCCACTGGAGCTTAAGCGAGAGTGATCTCGGTCCCGCCGCTGGGGAGCTCGGGGTGTGCATCACATCAGAGATGTAGTCATGTATGATCTCCCTGGTGTGGCACTCACAACTGTGGTTCAAGGTGGAATGCCCGCCGGAAGACGTTGGTCAGGAGACTAGAGCACGTCCTGGTGGGACCAGGAACCCCAAAAGAGGCAGTGAGGTTGCCAGGAGAAAGAGACGGAGCCTTTGGGGTAAGTCCCGTGGTTGTCCGGTGGTTTAAACTTGGATGTTGTGGCACCTGGAGACAGAAAATGTAGAAGTCACTGGGAGAAATATAATGTTGGGTGGTTGTTAGATGTGGTGAACTTTGCCAGGCAGAGGGTAGGGGGACAGGTCTGGAGTCCCTGAGCACCATGAGGGCTTGAAGGGCTCAGCTGGTACTCCCTAAAGTATACATCGGTGACTAGGGCAGAGCCCTGTACAAAGGTCAGAGAATACTGGGAGCAAGAAATCCTGTCAGGTGCCAGGGAGGGGTCACATGCACTGGAAAGCTGTCTCCTGGAACTGGCCAGCCCTCTGGCCAATAGTAGCTATGAAAATGGTGTTTTAGGGCAGTGGGAGGGAAGGGACAGAAGTGAAAACCTGTGGCCCAGGGAATTTGGCTGTGGAATGGAAGGAAATGTATGTGTCTCAAAGTACATGGCAGAAAAAGAAGGGTTTGAAGCAGCTTATTCAACACTCACCTCGAATGATACAGTCAGTTCCCGATGTTTAGCCCTTTCAGCTCACTCCCCAACTGACTGTGAACCATCAGTGAGCTTGGAACACTGGCCTGGGAAAAGGAGACTCACAGCTGTATTTGGCCCTCCCAGGCAACTCCCTCACTGCTCTGGTCCCCGCTGTCACCTTTGTGCCACTCCCCTCCTGAAATGCTATCCTTCACAGGCTCAGTAGCAGTCAGGGGCATTCTCATGTGCCTGAAGCACCCTGCGCCAAAAGCCGCTGCCCTCCAGGGCGTCAGACATCAGGGGCATCTTGAATGCAAGGAGTTCAGCTTCCTTGTTTTGTGTGTGTCATGCGTGAAGGTGCCCGGCTGATGATGGCAGAACCCCACGGCTGACTGGTGGTGAGCCAGGGGAGGGACGCAAGAATGGGCTTCAATGGCCGCTGTGAGAGAAGTCCCCGGGGAAAGGTGGGACTGGGGATGCCTCCCATAGCATAGGGGAACTCTCCAGCTGCCCTGAACCCCTGTTTCAGCAGTTCACAACTGGTGTTGTCACAGGCCCAGGAAAGCAAGAGACCCAGCTTCCCCTGAAACCCAAGGACTGTGCAAGATGAACAAGACTTTGTTTCCTGCTGTTACAGTGAGCAAGGATCAGGACGCCCCCAACCCCCCACCTCAATGGCTGCTTTCCAGGCGGTTGGGAGCTTGGTGGCCCGCTGTGCACGTGTGTAGGGCCTCAAGGGGTCTTCCTGTCTGTCACTATGGAGAACTCGTCCCTACCACCCATGGTAGTGGGGCATGCCCTTGAGTTCTGTTTGGGTCATTTCTCTGCCTCCTGCACGTGGACACTCAGCACCAAATTCAGGAATCCACTGTAGTAGTGAGTCAGGACAGGACCCTGGCAGCAACAGTGCTGCTCCCAGGGCAGCAGACACAGGCCAGGGACTAGTAAACAGGCAGGGAGCCAAGTGTTAACAACACCACCCTCCCTGAGTTTACAGAAAGCGGCCAGCCCCAATCCTGGTGCATATGCCACCTTCAGAGTTTACCGTTTAGTGTAGTAGCCCCAGCTAAGGAGAATAGGTAAGATTGGAACACGAGACACATGTTTCCTAGAGTTCAGCTCTCAGCCAAACCAAATCCTCTCCCTCTCACCTGAGCTATGGAAGCAAGGGATGCATGCTGGCAAGGAGGCTCTTGCCTCTGGCTGGGGCAGGACATTGCTGCGATCTCAACCCTGCTTGCCCAGACTTCACAGGGCCTTTTCTCCCATGTTCAGTCCCCTCCACAGTCATGTGCAGGGCAGTGAGGTCTGTACCCCAGGAATCCCAGGGTCAGGAAACGCAGTAGCTGCTCTCCTGGTGTAGGGCCAGCAGGATTGCCTCCCAGAGTCCCAGTACCATGCTCTGCTCGGGTTCCAGGTCCAAGGTCAAGGCAGCCAGGTACGTGCTGATGGCTAGGCACAGGGAAATGGGGGTTGATGCAGGCCCTGCCCAGCTCATGCCGTGTGCCTGTTCCCACCCAGGCACAACTGCCACTAGGGGCCCTTGGACACCCTTCTGTTTCCAAAGAAACCTGGACTCTCTTCCTCCCTGAAATAGGTTGTCTAGTGGTGCTGGCCAGGGCCGCAGCAATCCCCGTGGCTAATTAAAATTGACTTCCTTCAGAAGCCCTCCTTGCCAACTGGGCCAAGGCTCAGCCCCAGGCTCTGTTTCCGGTCCCCACCCCACCCCCAAGAAAGCAGGCTTCTGCCAGGGGCAGGGTTGGACTGCTGGCGTCCTGTGAAGCCCAGAATTGGAACCAACCTCCACGACAGATCTCCCAAGCATCCCCTCCTGCAAGAGTAGGGGAGGCCAGTGGGGGCACAACTGGCAAGGTGTCAGGAGTGGAAATGATGGCTTTCCATGTGATTGCATTCCGGGACGTCATCAGGCCGTTGTTCCTGGCCATGGAAGGGCCCCAGGAAGAACCCTTGCATCCGGCTTCTACAGTGATGTCCTAGCTGTTCTGGGCTGGGAGGGTTGTGTCCTTGCTCCTGATCCTGGAAAGCACACTCATTTAGCCTGTGCACAGCCTTACAAAGCCAGGAATGAGGAGCTGCCAGGCCTGGCCTGCTGGTGTCCCTAGGTGATTTGCAGGTCCTGTGTGTCTGCCTCATGAGTCTCCACTGCATTCACCAAGCTTTCCCCCGACCCAGGGCTGAGGTCAGAATAGTACGATGCTGATGGCTGCTATGTGGAAGCAGCTCTGGGCTGTGGGGAAATGGGGGGCTGTGTCCAGTTCCTGGGGCTAATGTGGAGCCTTTCCCTCTCATTGTGCAGGACATCATTGAGGGGGGCAGCCTGCGTATCCCCCTCCAGGAGCTGCACCAGATGATCCTGACCCCCATCAAGGCCTACAGCTCCCCGAGCGCCACCCCAGAGGCTCACCGCCGGGAGTCACCCCCAGCCTCACAGCAGCCCTCACTTCTGGGCCCGGAGAGTCAGGGCCCCGACTGCAAAGACAGCGCCGCGGCTGGCAGTGCCTCTGCCAACACCTCAGCTGGGGCCAGCGGTGGGCTGCAGCCACACCAGCTGAGCAGCTGTGATGGGGAGCTGGCCGTTGCCCCCCTGCCAGAGGGGGACCTACCTGGGCAGTTCACACGTGTCATGGGGAAAGGTACTGTCCTCCCTCACCAACCACATCCCCACCTAGCATAAGTCCCTAACCCAGAAATTGCAGCTGCCAGGAGCGAGGGAGTTGGTAGAGGGGGTTACCTGGATCAAAGTCCAGGTTCTGGCTCTCTCCCTCCTGTCAGCCATGACCTTGGGGGAAGCAAAACTGGACTCTGACAACTATAACCTTGGGAACAAGCCTCTTGGCTGGTGCCACTCCCTCCCCAGAAGCCAGGTGGGAAACCAGTCCAGAGCCCTGGAACCCCCCAGACCCCAACCACTGTGTGGAAGGGTCCAGGCCTGTGGCCAGGGCCTCTGACCCTCGGGGCCTAGAATCTTCTCCCTGACTGCCACATGCTGATTCTTTGCAGCTATTGGCACCCCAGAAATGGACCTCTAGTGGGGTTCCTGAATGGAGTCCGGGTATGCCAGTCATGGATCTCTATTCTAACCCTCTATGTGGCTCCATTCCATGGAGGAGGAGAAACTGGCACACAGGCTGAGTTGCCCCCCTGAGCTGACCCAGCAGGTGGCTCTCTACCAGTCTGTGCTTTTTTAGGTGCTCAAGATGGAGCAAGCCCTCTCCCCGCCCCCACCACTCCTGCATGGGAAGTCTCAGTGGAAATTGCAAGAATGGTACCCAGTCTCAAGAGATGCAGCAGGCTCTCACCTGGGAGCGTGTATAGTACACAACCCGAATACCCGGGCGGGCTGGCCTGGTCCAAAAGATGCCTTCCTCACCCCATCCTTTGCACCTGTGCCATGATGCCACCTCTGTCAGATCTTGGCTGGGTCCTCACGTACTCTCCACTAAGGCAGCCCGATCCCCTGCATGGGGTAAGGGACCCCTCACAAGCACACAGCCCCTGTGGTTCTCCTTGTCTGCACCCAATTTGCCATTGTCTGCCTGGCCATCTCCATTCATTTTCAGCACTGTCCAGCTACTTTTGTTAGCCACGGCATGACCTTCCTGTAGCGTGTTACCCGGCTCCTGCTGGGTGCTTGACCAGTATTTGGTGCACAAACTGAAGGATGACACCAGTATCTAAAGTTAGATTCCAACCCAGGTTAGTCAAGCACTCCCTGGCCGCTGCCACCAGCTGCCTGCCTGCAGGGCGGGTTGGAAGCTATAGCGTGGTCCCTCCACATGGCCCAGACCCTTATTAGGTGCCCCTCTGGAAAGAGGCAACGCTACAATAACTAGAGCTTAATGGCTGCCTCCCAGGAACTCTCCACTTTTTAAAAAACTTTGTAAATACTGACCCTTTTCCTTGGGGAAGGGGAAACCAGCTTTTCTCCCATACTGTCCCCTATTCCAGACCATTTTGAGGAACCAAGTTGTCAGCAAAAGAAATGGATGTCTGAGCCTTGGAGTTGCAGTGGGAACAGCCCCTCCCCAACACATAAACACATACACCTCCAAACACGACTTCCGGTCATGCATATCTAGTATACCAGGAGAGAATTCCTGGCTTCCCTTCCAGCTTAACAGCCAGGGAGCGCCCTGTTCTCCCCAAACTGCCTGCCTACCCACCCGCTCCTTCCTGGTCAAGACCACCAGGGCTGTGGGGCTCTGATAAGAGAATGGGCACCCTCATGTGGTCAGGAGGAATCCAGGGCATGCATCAGCAGCACCCACGTACCAACTCCACTGTGCCTCACTCAGGTTGGCCTGGGTGTGCCGGAAGCCTTGTGTGTGTAACTGGGCGCCACCCTTTGAGGACAGGTTTATCTGCTCTCATGCATGCCTCAGTTCAAAAAAGGGGCTAGCCCACCCACACACATGCCCCAGCCCTGCACCTGACCAGAGGGCTACCTGTGACTCTGGGATAGCATCAATGGCCCCTGACACTCCACTGGCTGTTCTCACCAAGCCACTTTCAAAGCCAGAGCCAATGCTCATGGCCCTCCTTCCTCCCTCCCTCTCAATGCAGTGGTTGCTGCAGGCTTAATATAGTACGGCATGCCTGGAATTAACTCAAGGGGCTCCTTGAAGCAGGGCTCCATGGCATGTGGGGTGGGGGTGGGGACATGACTTCCGGGGAATGAGGAGCCTCTTGGCCTTGACCATGAACCTGACGTAAAGCCGCGGGCACACACAACTCTGGAAAAGTCAGTCCCGAGAGACAGAGCTCAGCGGGTGGCGTGGGTGTACCTCGTTCTAATCCTTCCGCTCTCATTCGCAGTGTGCACACAACTCCTGGTCTGCAGGCCTGATGAGGAAAATATAAGTTCCTATTTACAGCTCATAGACAAGTGTCTGATTCATGAGGTGAGTGGGATGGCTCTCATAGCGTGGCCTTCCTCCCCAGGGCTTACAATTAGTTTCTGGGATATGATCTTTTCAGTGGCCAGTGAGGGTGGGACAGGGGTAAATGGGGTGGGCAATTGCTGAGTCTAACAGCTGGGGCAGAACTAAACCAGGGCAGCCTGCCACCTAACAGAGCATCCAAAGGGTGCCCCCTGCCGAGACAGGGGCAGGTGGTGGTGAGCGCCTGACACTGGAAGCCCAGGAAGGCAGGGGGAAGCAGAGGGGTTTAAACCTCTCTCTTGACAATTGTGTATTTTTGGCCTTTCCATGCAAGGACACTGCAGGGAGTGGGTAAGGAGTGTATAGTCGGAGAGGGCTGCTCTGGTGTCCGTTGCTTGGCATTTCTCATAGCAAGGATTCCACTGGAGGTGGACTCAGGTTGGCTGGAAGGACCACTGGAGGTGCAGGCTTCATGTGCAAAGCTGCACAGCCCCCTGGGCCCAGCTGGGTGGCACCTGCCTTGATGGCTGGCCCTGAGGGACATGGAGGGAGAATGGTTTGGCCTTGGACCACACTGCCCCACCAAAGGCCTCCACCGAAAGGCTTGTTCAAGTACTGTTTGTAGAAGAGAGGAACATGGTTTGCCTCTTCTATTGTGGATCCTGACCCTGCACGTGTCTGATTAGCAGGGTGTGACAGAAGGACAGTGCCATCCCATGGGCCACCGTGATCCCTGGGCCTGAGCCCCAGCTACACAGCTCCAGGTGTGAGGGGAGCAGCTCAGACAGACAGGCCACCTGTCCACAATGCCCAGGGCTCAGGACAGAGGCCACAGCGCACTGGGGCAGCCCTTAGGAGAGCCACTAGAGGCTGGGGAAAGGAAAGACTTGGTCAGTGAGGCGCAGCCTGGCGCCCAAGTAGATCATTACCCTGGGCTGGGTGGGGACAGAGAAAGGCTCCACCTTGAGTTACACAGGAGGACACTTTGAGCAGGCAGTTGTTGGAAGGGGTGTGAGAGGTCAAAGGACAGCTTCCACTCCACCCTACCCCCCAAAAAAGGCAACCAAGAACTCTGCTTCCTCTCTGGCCTCCTCTACTCTCAGTAACAGTCTTCCACGTGGGGCCAGGTGACCTTGCACCTGGTCTTAGCTCTACTGGGCCTGGGAGATTAAGGCGACAGGTCATCCTTCGGCTACCCCCTACTGCACTGCACACAGGCATCCCACTGGTCCACCCCAGCCCCCATACCTTGGTCTGGCATGTCCCCAACCCTCCCAGGCACCCTGCACCTCAGGTCTGTCTCTCCCAGTAGTAACCCCTCTTCCCCGTGGTACAGGGCCAAGGTGGCCCCGTGTGGTCTGCTCTGCTGGCGGCCATGGAGGGGGCAGGTAATGGACAGGAAAGAGCTCATGACGCATCTGCCTACCCAATTCCCTGTCAGGATGCAAAGGAAAATGTTGCTCAAGGCCTCCTTTTATTATTGTAGTGGGAGAAAGAGGAAAGGCCTCTGAATAATTTTCCACCGCCTGGGGTTGCTCCGTGTGGGCAAACGCGCCCGCCCTGGGAGGCCCTGCTGAGACAGCCAGCAGTGGCTCCATCCTGGCTGGGGTTAGCCTAGCCTGGGCCGGACAGGCCTGCCTTTCAGAGCCTGCCTGCTACATGCCCTTGTCCAGCTGGCTTGAGCCAGGGAGGTGTGGACTAAGCTGAGCTGCCACCCTGTTGTCCCAGCTCCTCCTCCTTGGAGCAGGGCCAAGAAGCTCCAAGCTGAGCTAGGACAAGCACCACAGGCCCAGGCATCCCTTGCCATCTTGCAGTGGTCCTGTGAACCAAGTGCCAGTCCCCTTCCTCAGCCTTTGCCTTTTGAGCTGCAGCAGGGGACATTTATAACCATGTGGCCCTGGGTGGATGCGGCTGTGGACTGAAAGGAGATGGGGCACTCCCAAACCCAGACCCCCAAACCCAGACCATCCATAGGCTAGACTCTTTCCCCTTCTCTCCAGTACTGTGAGGAAGCCTCCCCCAGGCCCCGACATGGTCCTGCACTGAGATCCCAGGCATCCAACTCCTAGCAGCTCCTCCACCATGGAACCCTTGGAGCCAGGGACAACCAAGCTCCAGTTGCTCGCTGCTAGGTCATACGTGACCCTGCAGAAGGGGCCAGCCCCTCTCACCACAGCCCTGTCTGGCAGAAGCTGCTGCCACAGGTGCTAGGGGAGAGAGCTGATCTCTGAAGGTGTCAACCCTCACTGCCACCACCGTGGGAGAGGCTGTGTGTCCTGGATGCTGCAGGAGTCAGTTGGTTATTAACAAAGCACCTGCTACAACATGGTCAGAGCGCCTTGCCGGTGTGGTCCACAATGTCCCTTGGCAGGTAGGAAAGGAGGGTATTCTATCTCCAGAAGGAGCTGAGCCTTGGGTGGAGGAACTTGCCAAAGGGTGTGCACACCACCTAGCCCTGCCTGTCTGTATCCAGACCTTCCTCCAGCTCACTGGCCTGGACTCTCCTGTCCTAGATACCACCCTCATCATCTCATGGGTTGGCCAGAAGCAGAGTCTGTTCCCTCCCTCACTGACCTAGTCTGGAAGAAGCACCTGCCTTTGCCAGTGTGGATGGACACGGGTCAGCCATCACACAGGAGAGGGGTGATGACAGAGAGGCATGGGACCACCCACCTCGCACATGCAGGGGCTCTGACCTCTTCCTCAGATGGTGACGCTTGGCCTGTTGGCCCTGCTCGATGCATACTCTCCTTGGCTACCAGCTGAGTCACCCAGGAAGGATGTCACACCGTGATGCCTAGTATGGTCCTGGCTCTTTGCTTTTGCCCATAGAGCTCCCCTGTGTGTGGGTGCTTAAAGAATTTAAGCTTCATTTTCTTCTCCTGATGCTTTTTCCCCCCACTTAAAGGTTATTTCCTGTAAGGAAACTAGTCATTGAGTCTGTTCCTCTAAGTAAAATATTATTGCTAACAGAGTCCGGCCTTGTTGACGAAAGTACTTGGGAATGGTTTCTCATCCGCATCACTGAGATGAGCTGATGGATCTCCCTCAGTGTGCTCGGGTGCTCAACATGGGGGGAAGGGTCCATGTGTTTTCCGGTGCCCTTGCCTCTGAGAAAGCATGTCCAGTCCATGGAACAGCACCAAGGTGGGCCCTGCTGCAAACAGACTCGCTGCATTCCATCGCTTCCTTGGGGTGAGAGTCCGCACTTGCGCCCCAGAACCCTGTGTCCCCACACTTCGTTTTTAAGACAGACGTGGAAATGTGTCAGGTTTCTTCATTTCCCTAAACCTGAGGTCCAGGCGGGTGCACAGGAGGCGTCTGGGCTGGAGACTTCTCAGCAGAGCCCGGAAGAGCAGAGAATGAACTCTGTGCTTCGAAGCCGTACTGACCACATCATGCACAGATTCTTTTTCTTTTTTGGAGTGAGTTTTAAATTTCCATTAATTACAAAAACACAGGGAGCCTGCAAAAGCCAGAGTATTTGACAATCTGTTTCACAATCCGTGCTCGAGTTGAGTCCCAGAGCGGGGTGGGGGTGGAACCGCACCCTGACATGAGGGTTGTGGCAGCTTACGGCGCACAGCTTCCCGGGCACCGCCGATGGCAACCTGAATTTTCAGTGCAGGTGACTTCCAAACTAAAATAGACTGCTGTTTGGGCCAGGATGGGAACAGATGAAGGGAAGGCGATTTCAGGGATGCCAGCGTGTCCCCCCTATTAATCACACGTCTCTCCATGTCAGGCTGCACTATCCATATAAGACTCCTGTTTGTTTTTGCAGGCATTCACAGAGACACAGAAAAAAAGATTGTTGTCATGGAAACAGCAGGTGCAGAAGCTCTTTCGGTCTTTCCCTCGGAAAACCCTTCTAGACATATCAGGATATCGACAGCAAAGAAAGTACGTTGTGATTTCTTGGTAATGTGCAATGGATCCCTTGGGTACCTCATGGCCTCCTGGACTCCTGAGGTTCTGGCAAGTTGGGGCATGATGGAGGCCGAGGACATGGTGTCGGGCATTGGTCACGATCTCACTCCTCAAGCAGGTGGGGTTTGGAAGAGGCCATAGCGAGAACATGCATCCCTAGGAGAGCTTTGGTAATTCAATGGACATTGTCAGAATGATGATATTGGTTCACTTGTGCAGCCAAGAGCAGAGCAGGGGGACAGGGTGACTGCCTGGCAGTTTACCCACCAAGGGGGGACTCTGGGAAGGACAGTGCCAGCTGCTCTCCCCATAGCTTCAGTGGAGTGTACATTTTTTTCCACCTTCTCGCTGCAGACAAGCTAATTATAGTGGGTGGCAGGGTGAAGCTCCCAACACTGGTCTATTTCGGTCCACACTGCCCGTCATGGCAGAGCAACACCATTCTTGACTTTCCTTAGTCCTTTGAGCCACCTGCACGCAGCTGAAAAATCAGCTTGGCCTCAGGACACCTTCCCTCAAGAGGGATTTCAATCAAGGAAGCCAATTGCCTTGGAGAGGGGAATTTCACCAGAACTTTGAGGGAGAAATTAAGGAAAGGGTGGGTGACTGTTGAGGTAGGCCTTGAACAATGATAGGGAATTGTTTTATGATAATGCAAACATCCTGGGGATGGGGGAATTAACATTCTACTTTACATTCTAAAACATGGGCAGATAATCATTTCTTCCCTGGCACCAAAAAGTCTCCGAATTCCATTTCTCAGTGCAAATATAGAAGGTTCTGTCTGTGTTGTGAAAGATTTTGGGCATTTATTTGCATAAGTATGCTTTAAAAACATCACTGTTTTGTATTATTTAAAGATGATAAGGCCTGTTGGAGTTTGTGAGGAGTATTCATGAAAGCTGAATTTTAAAACCAAAGCATTATCCCATTTTAGCATATACAGCACTGTCATTTATTAAGCAAACATTTATGTGGCACTTACTGCATGCCTATTCTTGCAGTAACCTTACAAGGTAGGGCTGCTATTATGAAAAGTTCATAGAAAATGGAATTAAAGGATCAGGTTGACTTTGGTGTTAAAAAAAACTTTTGAGATCCGTACGTTCAAGGGGTCTTAGACTCAGGGGAAATGTGCATGGCTTTCCAAAATTTGTTTTGAACCAAAGCAAGTGTCTCTTAATGCCATTTCCACAAACTTTTTGATATTCCCTTGTATTAATCCCAATGTGCAAGCGAGCAGGGCCACCCGGGATCTGGACCCACTAGGCCAGCTCCAGAGCTGGGCTCTTCACAATGACAGGGGCCAGCCACCTCTCATGGTCTCATGATGGAAGGAGCAGAGGGATGGTCCAGCAACAGACAAGTGACAAGGGTTAAAATGCAGCTCGGGGTACCTGTGTCCACGGCAGGGGAACCAAGTTCAGTACTGCCTGACTGCTGATGTGAACTCTGAGAGGCAGTGGGTGGAAAGCTCAGCTGCCTGGGTACCTGCTACCAACGTGGGAGAACTGAGCTGTGTTCTGAGCTTCTGGCCTAAGCCCTGACCCAGCCCTGGCTGTGGCAAGCATGTGGGGAGGAAGGATTGCTGGGTCTGTGTCTGCCTTTCAGATAAAGTGTCTCTTCAAAGATTTATTTTTATTTGAAAGGTAGACATCTTACAACTGCTGGTTCACTCCCCAAATGGCCACGATGGCCAGAGCTGAGCCAATTAGGAGCTTCTCCAGGGTCCTCCACGGAGTAAAGGGTTCCCAAGGCCTTGGGACATCCTCCACTGCTTTCCCAGGCCATCAGCAAGGAGCTGGATTGGAAGTGAAGCACCAGGACTTGAGCCTGTGCTTATATGGGATGCTGATGTTGCAGATGGAAGATTAGCCTGATATACCACCACACCAGCCCCATGAATAACGTATGTTTTTTAGAAAGGACAAAAAACTAGACAGTAAGGTCAGACACGGCAGCTCTCTTTCTTGCCAACTCCAAGCCCTCCAAAAACAACAGCCTATTGTGGATGGGGCTACCACCTGCGCCCACCCTACCCCTCAGGGGTCCAGTGATTCAGGTAAAAGGTCAGGCCTGCTCCCTGGGACCTGTCAGCCTGCTGACACATCAGAGTCCCACCCAGACCCCTCTCCACTTCTGAGTAAAGCCGCAGTGGGCTAACCCCTAAGTTACTGACTCAGTAAGAATGAACTTGGTCATCAGTTGTGGATGGCCAGTGGCGTATTGTTGGGTCTCCTCTGGGATCACGTGCTGCTGGGGGTTTCCTTTGAAAGCCCAAATCTCCAACAATACCACGGTCACTGTACCCGGCCTCTGTGCACGACCACAGATGCTCAATGAACTGGTCCTTCTTGATGCTATTCCATCAAAGGTTTGTCATGCATCTCAACATAATGTGACCAAGTTTGAGAAAGCCAGAGGACAGACACAGGTGGGCAGGAGGAAAAAAAGAATGAGAAAGGGAAGTGGACTCGGCTCGCTGTGGTCCCTGCCCACAAGAAGCAGGAATATTCCAGCCAGCCAAAACCCAGAGCCACCCAGCAGCTGATGCATGCTGTCTGTAGCCACAGCCCCTGAACAAGCTGGCCACCACCTAATGACCAACCAATGGCCTCGCTAGGAACCCTCGGAACCTGTTCATTTCCCCCACAGACCCCAAGTCCCCAGGCAGAATCCTGGACCCATGAGACAGTGTTAAAATGCAGATAATTGGGGTGACTCATGCAAAAACTTTCTTAAAAACCTGACCAAAAACTACTGAGAAAAAGTGTTGTACAATCAGGAAAAATCTTAGCCGAGTGCTAAATTCTCCCAGGTCGCCAGCACGCCCAACTGAGGAGCCCAAAAGATAGGGTTTTCTGGCTTAATAGAAACATCCATCGGGATCCGCCTGTCCTGGGCCTGCCCTGATTTTTTTCTTTCAAACCAAGAGTTTCAGAGTTTCGATCATTTAGGGAAAGGGAGTGGGGAGAAGGCTCAAAATTCACTTTTCAGATATCCCAATATTAGTAAGGCATGTAGTTTCCGAGAAGGGAAAAGATTTGCAAAGAGAACAAGAACTACCTGGGTGGGCCCCCCTCGTCACCACTTTCTGACTGGAATCCAGAATTGGCCATGAAGTCCTGAGGTGGGGGGGCGAGCCTTGAATTCTCTTCCCTCCCTCAGAAAGTGGGGGATCCTGAGGAATAGAGCCGCATCTTCCGGGGTCCTAGAGCCGCTTGCAGCACGAGCCAGTTGACCAGGCCCTTCATTTCCCCCTTTGGGAAATGACTGTGTGGCAGGTGGCTCACCTCCCAAGCTGCTTCAGTCGGGTCTGCACATCTCCAGGAAGCGCGGCCACGAAGGCGAGCCTGCTCCCTCTAGTGGCCGCCTGCGGCCGCACACCCAAAGCAGCTGTGGCCAGCCAGTAACTCGAGCTGACTTGGGCTGGAAAGAATGTGCTGGTTCCTGAAACCCCGCTGGCTGCCGCCTCACCTCCCAGAACCTGAGGCGCGTTGAGTTCCTCAGCGCTGAGATCACCCGACCCGAGGGGGCAGCAGCAGCCTCCTTACCCCGACCCAGGGAAAAGCACCAAGCTTCCCAAGCCGCCTTCGCAGGGCCCACCTCTGCAGGGCCGGCTGTGCACCGAGGACCACTGTGCCCTTGTATGTACACGGCGTCATTTCTGCTCCCGTGTCCCTGCCACTCAAGGCCCGCAGATGGGGCTGGAGCTCTGGTCTGGGGTGAGCATTGCAATTGCACAGCCGCATCCATCCATCCATTCGGGGAGCCTTGGAGCCAATTCAGCAAGTCTGGGTAGGATTCACAGGCCACTGTTGCAAGGCCATCCCCACAGACCCAGTGATGGACAGAAAGGGCACCAGGACCCGGTCACGCCCCAGCTGAAGCCCTGGCTCTGCTGCCATCTCGCTGTGAGGACCAGGGCATCCTCCTCACACCCATGGTGGGAGGTGGCAGAGGGCATCCTGATTAGCCTTCCAGGGGCTCAGGGTGCAGCGCTGTGAGTCCCCGCCGGCCACACAGTGAGCAGCTGCCACCAGATGTGTTCGTGACCCTCCCAGACACATGGCGTGACCGATGGCCCTCTCTCTGTCCCCTCCCCCAGCCGCGGCTTTGGGCAGTCCAACTCCCTGCCAACGGCCGGCTCTGTGGGCGGCGGCATGGGCCGGCGGAACCCGCGTCAGTACCAGATTCCCTCCCGGAACGTCCCTTCGGCCCGCCTCGGCCTCCTGGGCACCAGCGGATTTGTAAGCTCCAACCAGCGCAGCCCTGCAGCCAACCCCACCATCATGAAACAAGGGAGGCAGGTTAGTCTGGGCTGGGCGAGGGGGGACAACAGTAGAAGCCCAATGCCTGGAGTCGAGTCGCAGGTGCACCCCGGGATGGGGGGAGGTGCAGCTGCTTGCTACTGTGCTCTAAGCTCAGGTTCCTGCCATCCTCGTGGGACAGCCACATGAAGCACCTGGCTGTGGCCTTGACCCCGCCATGGCGGTTGCAGTGGATGCGAGAGCTTTCAAATCAATGCAGATTCAAACAGGAGACTCACTACTAGAGAGCAAGATGGGATTCCCTCCCCAGACTCACTACCTATGGTCCACAAGCAGAGCTGGGCCACCACCTGGCCAGCCAGGAAGTTCTGTTTCTGGTCCAGGGCCTGGGAGTTCATTATGACAAGAGTCTCAAAGACAATCCAATGAGTGCTCAAGTGTGTCCTTCAATGCAGGCATTTCTGGAACTTTCCCCCCCCGTTTCCTGGAAAGTGGTAGGGAAAAAAGGCAAAAGCAACAGGTGTGATCAAGAGGGTTTAGAGGACAGGGCTGTGAAGCTGGTGGTAGGAGGCAGCCCCCTCTCTGTGCAGGCACATGGTGGCGCCAGCCTGTATCCACACAGTGCGGTGGGGGGATGGAGCTAGTGGCTCTGCTGCCATCCCCCGCCGCAGGGTTCCTGGACTAACGGGGGTCCTCCCTCCTATGCTTCCCAGCAGAACCTGTGGTTCGCCAACCCCGGTGGCAGCAACAGCATGCCCAGCCGCAGCCACAGCTCAGTGCAGAGGACCCGCTCGCTGCCCGTGCACTCCTCTCCACAGAACATGCTCATGTTCCAGCCCACAGGTAGGTCCGTGCTGCTAGGCAGCCCCTCCTCGCCTCAGGGCAGGGGCCTCGGCTGCTCCCAGAGCTGTGCAAGCGTGCTCCAGCAAGTTTGTAGGAAATGGAATTAAAGACGTATTTGGGGACAGGACAATGCTGAAGCCCATGCATATGAAGGGGCTTCCAAAAACTTCATGGGGGGTACAGATTGTGCATGGGTTAAGTTTCTTGTATCCCCAAGTTTTCTATTTCATTCCATTTTCCATGAGCATTTGGAACTGCCCTCATACTGTGTTCCCCTAAGCAGTTGCCACATTCATCTGGACCCCCATCACCACCACCACCACACACACACCCTGCCGATGGGCAAACCAGCGGTGTATAGCCACCTATAGGGAAATAGCACTTCCCCAGGTAGTAGCAACGCTGCCTGTTAGGTGCCATAGACTTCAAGGAAGAGCCATGTCACTGTGGGAGAGGGACCCAACTTCCAAACAGCCGACCTTATGGGTACCATGTCACAGGACACCCTGGAGTAGCAGAGTGAACCCAGGTGCTTAAAAAAATAAGCTGCAGACCACGAGGGGGCGCTGTGATACAAAGCCAAAAGCTCCAACCCTGGCCAGTCACAGGAGACTCCAGTGCCAGTCTTGTGGCAGTGCGTGTGTAGGACCCAGGGCAAGAGGGTCGGCTAGGAGAGGATAAGGCGAGGGAAAGGAAACCACCACGAAGAAAGGTGGGCACGTGGTAATTTGCTCCCTTTAAAAACTTGTTCTCTGTTGCAACACTTAGCAGCTCTTTTTCTTCCTGGGGGAGATGCTATGAGATGTGGGTCATGCAAGGGTCTTGGCCCGGGATCACTTATTCCCATCCTGGTGCCACACATAGTTGTGTGTGATCCGTTTGCAGAAGGGCACGAGTGGTGATGGCACCAGGTGGATGAGGAGACCTTGCACCTGCCGTGATCTGACCCCTCACCTTGGTCCCTGCACTGCCACCAGGCCATCTCGGATCCTCCCAGGTTATAGCAGCAGACCAGTGAGCCAGGCGACAGGAGCCACTCCAAGTCCTGCCCATCATGCCGGGAACCACGCCGGGGTGAAGGGCATGACAATACAGTGCCAGACCCCAGGAACCCTCACTGAAAGGCTGTGCCAAGGGCACCAGCTGGCTGCTCCTTAACCCTTTGCTCGCGACTCCCAGTGTGGCCTCTGCCCTTGCTGATCAAATGTGGGCTGGCAGGATGAGGCAGCCGGAGTGGGGCGTCATTATCCACACCCCTACAGCAGGGGGCCGATCCCATTTCGGGTGGGATGGGTTTCTAGACGTCTCCCAGGAGAGCTCCCGAGTGCAAACCGCCCCCTCTGTGGTCCCTGAATGAGTAAGACTCACAAAGCTGGCCTCCCTGAGCAAGAGAAGAACCAGGAAGGGAGGTGAATTCAAACAGGTGCCAACAAGAAGGGTCATGCTGTTTTCCCAACGGTAAATCCACTTGGAAAACTGCATAAGGCATGCCTTTCCAGCTCCCTGCTTCTGCACGTGGGAAAGCAGCAGAAGCTGGTCCAAGTCATCGGAGCCCTGCCACACAAGGCGAGGACATGGAGCCACTGGCCTCTGCCTGGCCCGGACTCTGGCCTCAGTCAAGGCAATTTGGGAAGTAAACAAGTGGAAGATTGTCTGTCTGGACAGTGGTCCAGCTTCCACCCCCATCCTCTGCCCCCTTCCTGTGCAGCTTGTCGTCCCTGCCACCGCCTCCTCCCGGCAACTCCACTTCTCACTTAGCTGCTTTTAGAAGCCTAATGGCTCTTTAGCAGAGGAGTCCCATTTGCCAAGTGAGAAGCTGGGCAACTCCCCAGAACAGCCCGCCCTGTTTCTTCTTCTGGGGAGACCTTTAAAAAAAATCAGCTTCTTAGCCTTGGCTGCAAAGGCCTTGGAAAGGGAGAGAACACTGCAGGCGTGTGCCCACAGGGCCACGGGACTGATCTCCAGTAGGGACGGCCAGTCACTGTCGGACAAGCCACATGGGCTCCCCAGGTAGACCCTGCAGCAACAGCACCTCTCAGAAATGGGAAGCTGGATCCTTCTAGAACCTTCTTGACTATGAGCCTGTACATGGAAGGCACAAAAGTCCCCAGTGAACATAGACCCTTTGGAGCTTGGAACATTGAAACCAGACTGGCATGAGGATGAGTTTTTGCATGCAGACAAGCCAGGGCCTCGGCCCACTGTGGGAAGGCCTCTCCATCCTTTTAAAGATTTATTGAAAGAGTTATAGACAACAAGTATCTTCCATCAACAGGTTCACTTCCCAAATGGCCACAGTGATCAGAGCTGAGCCAGCCCAAGGCCAGAAGCTTTACCTGGGTCTCCCACATGGACACAAGGCCCCAAACACTTGTGCTACCGTCTGCTGCTTTCCTAGGCCACTGTCATGTACCTGGATTGAAAGTGGAACAGCCAAGACAGACTGGCATATGGGATGCTGGCATCACAGGCAGTGGCTTCACTCACTACACTTCAATACCAGCCCCTGCTTTGGTCCTCTAAGTGGAAGCAACCATGGGTCCAGCAGGAGCTGGCCGAGTCTTCCAGCTCCATGCTAGGGCACTCTGCCAGCGCCACCATGCTGTGGCGCAGGCTCCTTGCCTGGGCTGGGAGCCGCCATCTCCCCAGCTGCTTTCTCTTCCATCTTATCTGCTGCCACAGATCTGTTTTTATCAAAGATACAATTAAAAAGTCACACTTATTAGGACTCTCTGCCATGGGAACATATGGGCTTCTTCCGAGGCCCAGCTTTTTTTTTTTTTTTTGGAGCTGCTCTGAGGGCGATGGTGGATCATGGCTTCCTCTCCCTGGGGCTACAGTGCACCTGGCTGGGCCAGGAGACGCCGGCCTACCCCCACGCCGCCTATAAGAGCAGCCACGAAGCGGCGGAGGCCCAGGAGCCGGGAGCCCCCCGCACGCCTCCAGCCCTGCTCCCTAAGCAGGCGATCCCACAACTTGGAAGCGGGCCTTGTGCCACGTGCTGGCAAGGCATCCTGCAGCTGAAAAGCGTCTCTCCAAATGCCGAGCATCTTTATTTATCCAAATCTCTCCACAGTGTTTGTTTAAAGGGGAGGGCTGGAGAGTAAACGAGATCTCACAATGAGCATATGGAAGGCTATAATTGCTGAGGTTTTTTTTTTTTCGTATTTGCTAACTGGCTATATATAAAACAGTGTTTCTATTTCATAGAGTTTACACCCCGAGGACTGCTAATTTTTGCATACATGTGATTTTCACATGAATGGAGGAAATGGTAAAATCCTCATTGTCCTGACCCTACTCTGAGAGCAAATGGTGGGAGGTGAGGTGGCTCCCGACTCCCCTGGCCACCTGCTGGAGCACCTGCCAGGCCTCCCTCCTGTCTTCAGCGCCTCCCCCACCCCAGGACTTCTCCGCATCCATTTGCCACCCTCACCTTTGAGGATTTTAAGTGGCGCCCACCACGGCCGTCCCTGCGCTTGCTGGCGATTGCAAACACAGGCTGCTGAGAAGCCACTGGGCCCACGGCTGGGCAAGCACATGTCTGCATGCCGCCAGCCTCGCCCCCTGGCTTCCTTGCTCGGCCGTGTGCCCTACAGGGAAAGACAAAGGGGAAGAGAAACGGCCTGACACTGGCCCCCCCTTAGCAGGAAGAAGAGTTGAGGCTCAGAGAACAACTTTCAGGATTCCCTAAGGCAAGAGTCCCCGGGCACCTGTGCCCACACTGTGCCATCGCCCATGCTGGGACATTTTGCCGCCTCCCTCCATAGGATCACATCGCTCTTAGCGGTCAGCACCCTTTGCCTTCTTGGGGTGCTCAGTAAACCTACACGAGGGGCCTGTGTCGAAGGCATGCACTGGCTGACCCCTGGGAGACAGAGATGCTTGTTACCGCCCCCTGCAGGGCATTTCCAGGGGCACAGCTGGCAGCTGGGAGACCCAAGTAGGACCCACCAGGTGCCACCCACAAGGGGCCAGAAGGCAGCTGGGGGGATGGCGAACGTCCAGATGCTAGAAAGACATCCATTGGAGTGACCCGCAGTCACTATTGTTTGCAGAAGGCCCAGCCTGGAGGCAGACATGGACCGCGGCGCAGCCCCTCAAGGTGCCAGCCACCCCTATGGAACCATTCCGTTTCTCTGTGTCCCCACGTGGGAGCTGAGCTGGGCAGAGCTGAAGTAGTTTGACCCATGTCATGACTGTCCCTGCATGTGCACTGCCTCCTCACAACGAACCAGAAATGTACCAGGCCTGGCTGCAGGCACAGAGAGCAGCCGGTGCCAATCCTACCCCAAAACACTTCACTCTGGGGTGACAGCAACTGAGCAAAACAATGGGAAGGAAGGGTGTCGCTCATGGTCTTCAGAGAAGTGCTTTCTGGGGTGAAGGCCAGGAGGGAGAATGAGCCGAGGGAAGTAGGAGAAGCACTTGGGGAATGGCATTCTAGGCAGTGGGATCATCGGTGCAAAGGCCCTGAGGCAGAAGGGAGCGGTGAGGAGAGCAGTTGTGCAAGGACAGGAAGGTGACCTGGGACCAGATCAGGTGGCGCCTTGCAGGCTGTGGCCGGCCGGAGGTTGGCCTTCCCTCTGACAGACTGCCGCTGGCCGGCTCTGAGCAGGAGCCACACGCTATGAATGCGACTGGCTATTTTTAATCATGGGGTTACTTCCAGCCATGCAGGGTCGCCTGGGCTCTTGTGTGTCTGAGACACCTCAGAGGTTGGCTGAAGCAGAGTGTAACCCACTCTCCCCGTGCCGGCCCCGGGAGCCCTCCCAACCACCAGCAGGTAGAATCGGGTGGCGCCCCGCATACTATCCTCTTGTCCTCTGAGTCCCCGTGGCCAACAGCCTGTTTTGTCCTCCTGCAGAATTCCAACTTCCCGTGACTGAACCAGACATCAACAACAGGCTGGAGTCCTTATGCCTCAGTATGACCGAGCACGCCCTGGGAGGTGAGTGTTCTCAGAATCCCGTGTGTCGGGGAGGGCTCTGCCGGCCCCCAGTGGCTGAGGCCGAGGAACAAGGAACAGCATGCAGTCCTGAGGGCCACATCCCACAGCCTCTGAGACCAGCTCCTCTCCACTTCTGGGAGGTGAGCTGGGGGCCTGGAGGCCGACACTACACCCCATCCCCACAATGTCTCCCTCTCAAAGCTCAGCCCCGCAGCATCTGTCCCAGCTCCAGCCCCAGGCCGGGAGCCAGAGGAGGCAGGGACCCAGAGCCTGCTTCCAGTGAGAACACCCCCCATGGCACTGGCCACTTTCCTGCTCGGCCCTGGTCACCCAGTGCAGGCCAAGAACAGCCCAGCTTGCTCTAGAAATAGAATTTCAGAAACAAAAATCCCTGTTTGTCTTTTTCTGTGTCCCTGTTATAAATGGCTTCCCGGTTGTCCTGAACCCGGTGGGACAGGGATGGTGGCATTTGCTTTAGGGATGAGGCCTGTGGCGTGCAGAGTACAGCCTGGGGACACTTAGATACAACTGTGCTTCCATACCATGGGCACTTGAGCAGGCCTGGTCATGGGTGGTGTTCTGGAAGGAAGGGGTGGGTGCCTGCTCTCCTCTGCCTGCCCACACACCCATGGCTACGTCACAGCGGCCCCCAACAGCCTGCCAACATCAAGTCTGCCCCCTCCCTGGAGATGCCCACTTTCTGGCAGTGGCGGCGACTATGGGCTGCAGTCCACCACCATGACCTTGACCTCCAGACTGGAGGGTTTAGGCTTTGGGGGTCTGCAAACGCAGCCTGTCCTTAGCAGTATAGAGAGCTGGGTTTTCAGCCCCTGAAAGGAACAGCAGCCCCCCACCCCCCAGGGCATAACCCCCTCCTGTGACTCACACCACCCCCTCCGTGTCCCAAGTAACCCCATTTGAAAACCACTGCACTGTTCCTTGGCCGGACAGTTTCTAAGGAGCTTTGCAGCACCACTAGGCCATCCCTGGTACCCCCAGCAACAGGTGTACTAGCTGCCGTTTTCCACCTTAGTGAGGAAATAAGCCCAATGGGAACCTGTAAATGAATATGGCTCTAGAACAGGTGATGTAGCCACCCAGTACACTCTGTCTAAACAGGAAGCATGTTCCAACACACACGATAGCACAGAGGGACACATCACACAAAGCCAGCCAGCCAGGACAACACAGCACATGATTCTAGCCCTGTGTGTCCAAGATAGGCTTGTCTCTACAGAGAGAAAGGACCTTAGGTGGTCATCAGGGGCCAAGGCCAGGTGGGCGTCCCAAGTGACTGCATAGAGGCCCGTTTCTCTGGGTGATGGCAAAATGTTCTAGCATTAGGTCATGATGTTCTTGGTACAGTTAGTATATGAAAAACCTCTGAAATGTACATTGCTGAAGGTGACCTTGATGGTATACATGTTATCTCAAGAAGCAACGCAGTGGGAGCTGGCACATCAAGTTAAGCCACTGCTTGCAACAGAGGCTTCCAATGTGCAAATGCCAGTACAGTTCGTGGTTGCTCCGCTTTCTACCCGGCTCCCTGTTAACACGCCTGAAAGGCAAAAGAGATGGTGCAGGTACTTGTCTCCCTGCCACCCATGAGACTTCAGCCTGGCCAGCCCTGTCCATTGCAAGCTTTGAGAAGGACCCAGTGGATGGAAGACCTCTCAGTTTGTCACTCTGCTTTTCAAATTAATCTTGAAAAAAAGAAAAAGAAAAACCAAAGTAATGAAGGCCTTGGGCCCGCACCCCAGGCAGTGAGTCTTGGCTGGCACCTGCCCCAGCCGCAGCGTCGGTGGGAAGATCCCAGGTCTCTGAGCTGTGACATCACAGGACCTCACACCAAACAGGGTGGGGAGGGATATGTGCACACGCCACTTGTCTTCCCTCACTTCCACGGAGGGAGGCTGACAGCTCCACTGACTTCCTGGGTGAGGCAGCCTCATTGCTCTGGCCCAGCCTTCTGTTTTCACAGAAGAGCTTTCTTGAACGTTCTCTACACAAGTTTCCATCTTATCCGTTAATCCCCTCCACCTAGTGGTCTAGCAGTGTTTTCGCTCAGCAGTGCCCCCTGGTGGGGAAGCACTGCGCTTCACACGGAAATACAAACCAAGGTCCTGGTACACTGCGTGGGTCCCAGGAACAGCCAGCCAGGCCAGTGCACCAAGAAGGGTCACTCTAGGCTGTCGGGGAGGATGAGGTGATCCCTTGGCCGTCCTCGTCATGTCCTCCCCAGTCCCACTGCAAGCCAAGTCAGAGATTTCACACAAGTTAGGGGAAGGCTCTCCCTCATGGGCACTGTGTTGACATTATCAGAACTCTGTCCCAGTGGCCATGGGGGCTGCACGGGAGTAGCGTCCCATGGAGTTGTGCAATGTGCAGCTTGCACGCTTCCCAAGGGGGAGCCTGGGCATTGACAGCCATGACACTCTGGCATCACGAGTGGCATGGAGGGACCTATAAAGAGGGGGCATCATGGTCCTGCAGACAAGGGAGCTCAGCAAGCAACCCAACACACGCACACACAGCAGAAGGGACCTGCATGCGCACGAGCAGAGCCCCACGCCCCAGAACCAGCACATTCTTGAGCCAGAGCTCATAGGCCCTGGCTCACACTGCCCCGCACCTGTGCCAGCGCCATGCACCCTCCCACTCTTGTCCTCTCCTGCCAACACCAGCTAAAAAAGCCGTTTTGCATCTCTGTGTAATTGCCTTTGATTGCCAAGACCAACTAAAACATTGTTCCAGGGGCTGGTTTGAGTCCCAGCTGCCCCACTTCCAATCTAGCTCCCTGCTCATACACCCAGGAAGGCTACAGAGCACAAGGCCCTGGGCCCCTGCCACCCATTGTGGAGACAACCCTGCGGAGGGCTTCTGCTTGGCCAGCCCTAATCCTTATGCCAATTTAGGAAATGAGCCAGCGGGTAAAAGATCCTTACTCTGTGCTACTGCTGCCTTTTTTGTTTTCTCTGTCCCTAACTCTACCTTCCAACAGAATAAAATAAAACCTTGAAAGCAAAGAATGTCTCGCTCCTGCTGTCTTGGTGGCCACTGCATTACAGCAGCTCTCCTTGTAGCACCCCTGTTGCTTGTCTACATCTTGCAGATTGCAAGTGGGTCCGGCATGAGAATGCACAGACAGCCCTTCTGTCCCCGACAGGCCAGGGGGCCTAACCGGCACCTCGCCCTCCACCCATGCCCATTGTGTGCTGCTTTCTTTCCCAGACGGGGTCGACCGGACTTCCACCATCTAGAAGTTGAAGATGAGAGTGACCGCGCTGGCCGTGAAGTGGACTGCTGCGGGCCCAGAGTCAGCCATCTTCAGGGCTGCACCGGATCCTCCGAGTGCAGCCTCTTCTTGCCCCTGGTCCCTCGCCCATTTTGATTTTGTGAGAGCGTAGGTCATCCTTGTAAACATATCCGTAGACCTGGGAGCGATTCCTTTGTCATTTGTTTGTGTCATGGGATGGTTTGCTGTGAGCCACAGGGAGGGCTCTCGTAGGGAATTGCAGGGCAGGGAGGGAGGTGGGGAAACCGCAGCTGGCTTTCTAGATGGACAAAGTTGTGTTACAGAAACTTCTCCCGAAGCCCAGCTCCCAGGAGGAAGGTGTGGGTACCCATGGCCACAGCCAGAGGGTGGCTCTCCCTGCTTCTAGCTAGCCCCAACCCTGCTCCAACTGGCTGTCCCCAGGGCCCCTGCCTCAAACAGAACCACAGGGGCAGAGTGGGGGGCTGGTGAGGGCAGCCAGAGGGAAGAAGCGCCCTCCAGCAAAACGTCAGACCGACTTTGATTTGTGTGTTGTTAAGAGTGCCCGCTGTGTGTGGCTAGAATTCCTTTTCCTAACAGGGTTCCTGGGATCGATCTGCCCCCTGGGGGATGTTGGTTGTTTCCTCTTTGTAAGAGCAGCCTGGCATGATAGGTATAGCCCAGGAGGCCTGAGGGGTCCAGCTCTCAGCCCTTTCAGCAGAAGACGCAGAAGGGTAGACAAGAACATGGTCGGAAAGAACAGGGCACCCTGTGACCACTTCAGGCCAAGCTCCTAGGCACCCAGCCACCCTGCACAGTGCCCCCCAGCCCTGCTATGCAAACACCAGTCTCACCCAGACCAACTATCTTCCCATGCCCAACAGCCCCTACCCAGAGTACAGAACAGAACACACTGGAAACCTCCTCAGAAGGGCTGCTTGCAAGAACCTGAGTCTGGGATTGCTTTCCCATCCCCATCCCAGTCTCAGAAGAGGAAGATGAGAACGGGCTGGGCAGCTGTGGACAGAGGTCCTAACAGGTGTCAGAGCACCCGCAGCCCGGGTGGGCAGTGGCGCAAGATATAGGAAGGGCTCCTCTGTGTTGCAAACACAGCTCCATCTACCCAGATGAAGCCAGGGATGGCCTGTGGTGCTGGCTGCTTTAACCATCTACCCACAGAGAAGGAGAAAGCATGCGAGACGCCCAAGGATCCACCAGCCACGAAAGAAGGTTTCTGAAGGGCAAGAAAGCCTGCACTTTGGAGTTAGATGCAGTGGAAGGCATTAGAGGAAGCCAAAAAGGGCCACGTTCGGGCACCAGGAAATTGGGCCGTGCAACTTGACGGCAGGACCACCACACCAGACGGAGGCCAGCTCAGGGAGACGGTTGGAGGGTCTGTTCACTGGGTCAGCCTGCCACTGCCTTGACCTCATCAAAAGCAGCACTGGAGATGAGACCATGAACATCTCTGCTCTCGCTGACGGCTCTACAAGCTACAGACAAGGCATCCAGAGCTCCCAGGCCTTAACGAAACCCCAACCATGGCGTTTTCACCTGGAGGAGAGAAAACAGACGCCCGGCCCAGCCTCCAAGGCCCTCCCAGCCTCAGTGCACCTTGACCGCAGACACCTTGAGCGAGCAAGGAATGGTTTGAACTCGCTCTTTCATGATGTTGCATTAAAAAAACAGTTCAGATCACTCCTTGCATGTGCAAATTCTATTGGTGCAAATCTGTGTGTGGAAAAGAGGCAAGATTTAGAATTTATTTTTTTGTAACCAAGTGCTATTAACACTCACCCTTCACATCCCATTTGGTAAACACAGCACGTGTTGCTGAGCACACGTGTGGGGGGGGACGGACGACCATGTGCAAGGCAGGAAAGGAGAAGGCATTGAAGGCCAACGGTAAGACGAGAGGGTGTGAGGATGTGATTTCTGGATGCTGAGAAAGTGAATCAAAGGAGAAGGAGGAACAATGGCATCGCAGGTCTTGGAGAAGAATGGAGGCGGCAGATCTGGGCTGCGCAGACAGCGGATGGCGGACACCGTGGTGTGAGTGTGCGTCCGGCCGGGAAGGCCCGGAAGTCCACCCCGTGTGCGTTTCTATTTATTCCTTCGCTGAACTGAGACAACAGTGGTCATCGGGTTATTAGAGAAATTATTTTGGATATGTTCCTTGTTAACTAGCTATGGCTGGTAACCATGACAAAGCCTGTTATGAATGAGGTTTTTTTTAAAAAAAAAAAAAAGCTTATTTTTCATTGACTGTGTATAGATTTATCCACTTCATTGTGTTTTGCTCTGTTAGCATCTTCTTTTTTAAACTTTTGACTATTTGGATAATTTTGAGGAGCCTGTTCCCACCTCCTTATGAGTCCTGTGTTGACTGCAGGCGTACAGCTCGATCTTAAAAAAAAAAAAAAAAATCCTGAAGCTAAGAGTTTTATTTATAAAAGAAAACAGTTGCATATGTAAGTCTGTGAAGTCGGAGACCCCATAACCAAGCGGCAGTGCCTTTTTGTATTGACCTCATGAACCCTCAGATGCAACTGTTTTATATTTAAATCAATAGGAAATGATTTAAAACAAAACAAAGAGAAGTCTATTTTGCTCCATGTTTCCTGTCCCCCTCGCTCAGCGCTCCCCAGCGTGTCCTCAGCCTCTCGCTGCTCTCCGAGGCAGCGGCGGTCTCCGTTCCCCTCATCACACCTGCAGTTTTATTGGTGCTTTTCATCCATACCGTCCATCTCCCCAGGATGGTAGGGAGAAACACACGACCTGTGTACAGGACACGAAACGTTGCTGCTGCTAACAGTTCCCTTCCACACGCTGGCTTCTGTGTGCCCGCCGGCCGAGCGTGACTGTTTTGCACGGAGCTCTGAGTCCTGCGTGCTGGCGTGTCCTTTTCGGGAAGGTGGGAGGACTTACCCAGGATGGGAGCCACAGCTGCCTACCCCTCCCTCCTTCCCTGCCCTGCTCCCATTCAACTGAAAAGACTCTGAGGAAAACAAGGTTTTCTTTTGAGGGGTCTTGGGCTGCCTTGTACAGATGGGAGCCTCCTCCGGGCCCCAGGTCCTTCCACAACCTCTTGTTGCGACAGCCCGTGCCAGGCATGTGGATGCGCAGTCGCCCCGAGAGCCCAGCCTGTGGCGGGGAGGGGGGAGGCTGAGCTGGTATGAAAGCGAGGCCAGAGATGCACACCTTCCCCGGGTCACCGGGAGAACCTGCAGAGGGGCCGTTTGCACACCCGGGCTGTGATAACACTAACTTGTTTTTTTTTTAACGAGTCATCAGAGATGTTTGCAAAGTGATTTTTCTTTTTGTAATTCCTTTATCTTTACTTAAAGGTGAATGTGTATTCCTCTGGGAGGAATAGGAAGAAAACAGGAACGTGAAGACTTCCTCCCTCGTTACTATAGACTCCCCCACCCCCGTATTTGTGCCTCCCGCAAGCCTCCACCTGTCACATGCCCATGCAGGCAGATCTGTATTGTGCATGCATGCCCCTTCGTCCTGGTTTCCTGTATAAACTTAGTGAACAAAGAGATATTTTTGCCTAGTTCATGTTGCCAAGCAATGCCTATTTTTTAAATTTGTCCTATATGGAAATGAGCATGTTTGTTACATGTCAAAGCTTTACTGACACAGAGATACTCCTGTTTGAAGACGCTGTTCTTTGCCAGTGTACAGTTTTCAAATGTTACCAGTGAGTGAGACACCCTCGTGGTTTCAACTTGCTACAATGTATTTATTACTCATTTCCTCCCATGTAACTAAAAAGAACCATGGCTATATTTCATATCAATGTTATATTGAAAGTGAAGGGAAATGATTAATACAAGGTTTTGTAACACGTGTGTGTCTGTAGGGGTTTTTTTGTTTGTTTGTTTTGCTTTTTCTCAACCTGATCTATTAGAAAACAAGACCTGTGTCTCAGGAGCAAACAAGCAAGGAATTCCTGCTAGCTTCCCGCTGGGCCCTGCTACACAACACAGGTCTGCTTGTGGAGCTGGGATGCAGCAAATTAAACCACCGGCTGCCGTGGTGGCAGCTCGTGTCCAGGCTGCTCCACTTCCCGCTGTGCAGCTCTCTGGAAAAGTGGCAGGAGGTGGTCCCAGTGGTTGGGTCCTGGCCATGCGTGAGTGGAGATGCAGCTGCAGCTCCAGGTTCCTGGCTTTGGCCTGGGTCCACCCAAGCCATCGTGAGCCATTTAGGGGAGGAACCAACAGACGGAGGCTCGCTCTGTTTCCTCCAAACTCCACCAACAGTCTGCCTTTCTAAATTTATTTTTTAAAGATTTTTTTTTTGTTTGTTTGAAAGGCAGAATCATACAGAATAGACAGAGCTTCCATCTCCTGGTTCACTCCCCACATGGTCTTAATGGCTGGAGCTGAGCCAATCCAAAGCCAAGAACCACATAGGTGCAAGGTCCCAAGACTTTGGGCCATCTCCGCTGCTTTCCTGGACCATCAGCAGGGAACTGGATCAGAAGTGGAGCCACAAGACGCGAACCAGCACCCATATGGGATGCAGCCACTTCAGGTGGAAGATGGGCTTGCAGGGCCACTTGCTATGTTCCCATAAGGTACTTTTTAAACAACAGGGGTGTAGATACGCATGCCATTTCATCTGTGCCAGAAGAGTCGACATGCACTTCCTGGGTGCTGGGAGTGTGTTTCTAAATACAAATGCTGACCCAGGGGACATAGTTTTATTGCCCCCTCTCTCCTAGCTTTGAAATATTTGACACTTTAACCATAGCAGAAAAATAGCAGCTTGTGGGCTACCATGGCTTGAATCTCATTCTAACAATTCAGTTCCAGTGAACTACAGACACTCAATATTATAAATACTGGGTCCATTGTCCATAGCATTGGAGAGAATAAGATTTGGGTATGAATTCTGGCTATGTGGCCTTAGACAAGTTACAGCCTCTCTGAGCCTTAGGGAGTTTTGTTTTGTTGTTTTGTTTTGTTGGTTTTTTTGGCCTATAAGTCAAAGCTTATGTCTTTAAACCTTTAATCCAAACCCAGGGTAGAGAGGTTACTGCTGCTACACCTTAGCAACCCAGGAGTCCTGTGACTGAGCTCACGACAGGGGTGGGTGCTGTGGCATGGCAGGCTAAGCCATGCTAGGGATACCCATTTATACAGGTCAGAGTGCCTCGTGTGAGTCCTGGCTCTTG